ATTGCAGTGCACTGAGATCATGCCACTGCACTCCAGCCTGGGTGACAAAGCAAGATTCTGACTCAAAAAAAAAAAAGTTATTTTTGCTCCAAGGACAAACAAGGTACTTTGCACTCTGCGTTTTGCTAACTCTTTGGTATGCTTATAAAACTGGGCATGGTAAACGTGCATTACTGTGCTTTTGGAAAATTTGTTCCTGGTACAGTCATGTGAATTGGGATGTGGTTGGGAAGCATCATTAATTGAGTCTGTGGTCAGAACAGAGACTTGTATAAAGAAATATCCAATTTAAGTGACATCAGTCAGATATTCAGTATAAATGAATTGGGAATGATAGACACAGTGGACAGTCCAAGAATGAAGTGAAATCTATCATTTTGTGAGTATTCGGAGGACTGGAACTGTATTTTAGGAAGGATGATGGGTGAGAGGGCCTACATGAATCAACAAGGAAACAGCCTCAAAAAAATAATAAACCTGCTTAAGATACCCTCATCTGAACGGATGAAGTTTGATGCCCTGTTGGTCACAGAAGGGTGAAATGGGCTGAGGAAACTGGGATTCTATAACACTACGATCCAAAAATACTTCCAGAAATGGCATTTGCAAGGTGCAAGTGTTCCCTGTAAAATCTCTGACAAAGGGCTTTGAAACTTAACTTATATTGGAAGAACCTTAAAAAGTTAGTAGAGCCATTCATAATTCTGTTTGGTTTAAGTGCTGCCTGCTAATAACATTACACTGAAATGCAGGAGTGAATTCCTATAATGTTAATTCGAATAGTTTACCTCAGTCTGAAGGTGGGCTCAAATGAGAACGACTGGCTATTGTTAGCTCTCAATTTGACTTTCAAGACACTTCAAAATAGTTTGAGAAAAAGAAAGTGATTTCTAGTTAAACTGTTAAGTACTTTGTGATACAAAGTATGTTCAGGTAAAACCTTTTATTTAAATCAACTTTAAGAGAGACCTCTTTAAAAGGTTGCAAAGTATAAATGAGGAAACCTTTAAAAAGAAATACAGCTTTATTTCTTTTACATATCTGTTGGGAGTTGAGCTAGATAGTTGAGGCACCAGCATGAGGTTCCTAAGAAATCTACTTTAATGAACAAATTAGAGTGATTTGTACTTAATACTTGATGTTGCCGGGCGCGGTGGCTCAAGCCTGTAATCCCAGCACTTTGGGAGGCCGAGGCGGGTGGATCACGAAGTCAAGAGATCAAGACCATCCTGGTCAACATGGTGAAATCCCGTCTCTACTAAAAATACAAAACATTAGCTGGGCATGGTGGTATGTGCCTGTAATCCCAGCTACTCAGGAGGTTGAGGCAGGAGAATTGCCTGATCCCAGGAGGCGGAGGTTGCGGTGAACTGAGATCGCGCCCTTGCACTCCAGCCTGGGTAACAAGAGTGAAACTCCATCTCAAAAACAACAACAACAACAACAACAACAACAACAAAACTTGTTATTTCAAAGACCACACAGACACTTGAAAAATAAGTTTTTTCCTGAACCCGATAATTTCAACTTTCCTAGCAATTTCTCATTTCTGAAAGAGTGAAAAGGTAAATTTTAGGCTAGCTTCTGTTCAAATAATCACAATATGTGAATTGAAGTTCGAAGATTTCATAGAGTGTTACTGAATTTGTCTGTTTTCTAAAGGAAATTGATTCATTCTTTTCAAATTATTTTACAGGATCCTTCAAACCAAAAGTGTGGTGGAAGAAAGAAAACCGTGTCTTTCAGCAGCATGCCATCGGAAAAGAAAATTAGCAGTGCAAATGACTGCATCAGCTTCATGCAAGCTGGCTGTGAGCTGAAGAAAGTCCGGCCAAATTCTCGCATTTACAACCGTTTTTTCACTCTGGACCCAGACCTCCAAGCTCTTCGCTGGGAACCTTCTAAGAAAGACCTCGAGAAAGCTAAGCTTGATATTTCTGCCATAAAAGAGATCAGACTGGGGAAAAATACGGAGACATTTAGAAACAATGGCCTTGCTGACCAGATCTGTGAGGACTGTGCCTTTTCCATACTCCATGGGGAAAACTATGAGTCTCTGGATCTAGTTGCCAATTCAGCAGATGTGGCAAACATCTGGGTGTCTGGGTTACGGTACCTGGTTTCTCGAAGTAAGCAGCCTCTTGATTTTATGGAGGGCAACCAGAACACTCCACGGTTTATGTGGTTGAAAACAGTGTTTCAAGCAGCAGATGTTGATGGGAATGGGATTATGTTGGAAGACACCTCTGTAGAGTTAATAAAACAACTGAACCCTACTCTGAAGGAAGCCAAGATCAGGTTAAAGTTTAAAGAAATCCAGAAGAGCAAAGAAAAACTAACCACTCGCGTGACCGAAGAGGAATTTTGTGAAGCTTTTTGTGAACTTTGCACCAGGCCAGAAGTGTATTTCTTACTTGTGCAGATATCTAAAAACAAAGAATATCTGGATGCCAATGATCTTATGCTCTTTTTAGAAGCTGAACAAGGAGTCACTCATATCACTGAGGATATATGCTTAGATATCATAAAGAGATATGAACTGTCTGAAGAGGGACGCCAAAAAGGGTTTCTTGCAATTGATGGATTTACCCAGTATTTATTGTCATCAGAATGTGACATTTTTGATCCTGAGCAAAAAAAGGTTGCCCAAGATATGACCCAGCCATTATCTCACTACTATATCAATGCCTCTCATAACACCTATTTAATAGAAGACCAGTTCAGGGGACCAGCTGACATCAATGGGTATGTGAGAGCTTTGAAAATGGGCTGTCGAAGCATTGAACTTGATGTAAGCGATGGTTCAGATAATGAACCAATCCTTTGTAATCGAAACAACATGACAACACATGTCTCCTTTCGAAGTGTCATAGAGGTAATAAATAAATTTGCCTTCATTGCTTCTGAATACCCACTCATTCTTTGTTTAGGAAATCACTGCTCCCTGCCGCAGCAGAAGGTAATGGTTCAACAGATGAAAAAGGTCTTTGGCAATAAACTGTATACCGAAGCACCTTTGCTCTCAGAATCCTACCTCCCATCACCAGAAAAATTAAAAAGAATGATCATTGTCAAAGGAAAGAAGTTGCCTTCTGATCCAGATGTGTTAGAAGGAGAAGTAACAGATGAAGATGAAGAAGCCGAAATGTCTCGAAGGATGTCAGTAGATTACAATGGTGAGCAGAAACAAATCCGGCTCTGTAGGGAGCTCTCTGATTTGGTATCTATTTGTAAATCTGTTCAGTACAGGGATTTCGAACTATCTATGAAAAGCCAAAACTATTGGGAAATTTGTTCATTTAGTGAAACAGAGGCCAGCCGCATTGCAAATGAGTACCCAGAGGATTTTGTTAATTATAATAAGAAGTTCTTATCAAGAATCTATCCAAGTGCCATGAGGATCGATTCCAGTAACTTGAATCCACAGGACTTTTGGAATTGTGGCTGTCAGATTGTAGCAATGAATTTTCAGACTCCGGGTCCAATGATGGACCTTCACACAGGCTGGTTTCTTCAAAATGGGGGATGTGGTTATGTTCTAAGGCCGTCTATCATGCGAGATGAAGTTTCTTACTTCAGTGCAAATACAAAGGGCATTGTACCTGGGGTGTCTCCTCTAGCTCTTCATATCAAGATCATCAGTGGTCAGAATTTCCCAAAGCCCAAGGGAGCTTGTGCCAAAGGGGATGTCATAGATCCCTATGTTTGTGTAGAAATACATGGAATTCCAGCGGATTGTTCAGAACAAAGAACTAAAACTGTACAGCAAAACAGTGATAATCCTATTTTTGATGAAACTTTTGAGTTCCAAGTAAACCTACCTGAGCTGGCCATGATCCGTTTTGTTGTTCTGGATGATGACTACATTGGGGATGAGTTTATAGGGCAATACACGATACCATTTGAATGTCTGCAGCCCGGATATCGGCATGTTCCCCTGCGCTCTTTTGTGGGTGACATCATGGAACACGTAACCCTTTTCGTCCACATAGCAATAACTAATCGAAGTGGAGGAGGAAAGGCACAGAAGCGCAGTCTTTCAGTGAGAATGGGGAAGAAAGTTCGGGAATATACTATGCTCAGGAATATCGGTCTTAAAACCATTGATGACATCTTTAAAATAGCAGTTCATCCATTACGAGAAGCCATAGATATGAGAGAAAATATGCAGGTAGGAGAAAAATCCCACACTCTCCTTCCCTTCCCTGCTTATTCCTACCCTTCTAATGTTTTATTAATTATCTGAATTGCAAAATTTTTCCAGAAAGATTGTTTAAGTCTGAGTACAGTGGATCACGCATGTAATCCCAGCACTTTAGGAGGCTGAGGCAGGTGGATCACTTGAGGCCAGGAGTTCGAGGCTAGCCTGGGAAACATGGTGAAACCCTGTCTCTCTTAAAAAAAAACACACAAAAATTAGCCAGGTGTGGTGGTACACACTTGTAGTCCTAGCTACCCAGGAGGCTGAAGTGGGAGGATTACTTGAGCCTGGGAGGTCAAGGATGCAATGAGCTGTGATTGCACCAGTGCCCTCCAGTCTGGGCAACAACAGAGCAAGACCCTCTCTCAAAATAAGAAAAGAAAGAAAGATGTGTAAATCTGTGTACCATTGAACTAAGTTCAGTATTGTCTGTGATAAAACAGATATATTTTATGTTTCTAATTGTGAATGCTAGGTTAACTTTGGACTGAACTAAGATGTAGCAAAATGCTGTATATCCATGCATATATTCTAGTACAAAACAGAATTGATATGTGGAAATGTGCATCTGAAACAATGGGAGTAAAGTAGAATGCACAATATGTGTGTGTAATATATACAAAATGTATACAAACACACACATACTAATTATCAGTATATATAATATTTGCAGATATGAACATGAAAGAGAATTTGAAGTCATATAAAACAAGTGTGATGCCTATTAGGTTATTTTTTAGTTTTAAATTTCGCATAATGACAACAATAATAAATTACTCCCCATAAGAACAAGTAAAACTAAACAAAAAAATCAGCACTCAAACTTGTTGAAAAAATATTTGACCTTGTATTAGAAATGTGATTTAATTGGAAGAACATAGCTTCTGGATCAAATCTACTCCTGTGCTATCTTGAGCAAATTATTTCGGGTCTCTGATCATTAATATGCTCCATAAGGTAAGAAAACTAGTTACACTTATCACAAAATTATTATGAGAGTAAAATTAGAGTATATGGAAATTGCCTAGCCTCAACAATTAGAAATTCAATGTTAAGTTTACTTGCCTTCATTAATGCAGATTATAATCTGAGACAGTTGTAAACTTAAAAAAAAAACCTACTTAATATACTTACTAGGCTAGCGTTATTGAGACGCAAGCAACAACAGATATTTACTGAGTACCTGCAAAGTGCAAAGTGAATATTATTCAATTCAATTTATTTATTTCTTTAACTGATGTGTTTATAATAATCCTTGCCAAAAAACCCTGTTTTCAATATAGAGAATAAACTTGAAAAGGCTAATGCATTTCTCAAATATTGTAAGTTAACAAATAGCCATGTTAGCCTTTTAATCCAGGACTGCAGTATTTAATAGAACAATAGGGTCACTGTAGTTAATAATAACTGTTCATTTTAGAATAACTTAAAGAGTCTAACTGGATTGTTTGCAACTCAATGGACAAATACTTGAGGGGATGCATACCCCATTCTTCATGATGTGCTTATTTCACATTGCATGCTTGTATCAAAACATCTCATGTACCCCGTAAATATATATCAACTATGTACCTACAAAAGTTAAAAATTAAAGAAAATAAATCTAGGATTTCCTAGTACCAAAATCTATGACCATTATCATTCAAATGATGCAGAACCACAAACCCATGACACAGTTAAATACTTGTGGTGGATTGCCTTAGCCACCATTTAAAAATTAGAGTCCAAGTGTCAGCATATTCTATGTCACTTTTTCTGAAATAATTCTAGTACTATTATAAATCCCTATGTTAATTAGTTATAAATCATTTCTACACTTAACTTTATAGATTAGACTTTACATATTTTATATAATTCTTAAAATATGAACTTTGCATATTTTATATTATATAAAAGGAGAGTTGGTTATAAAGTGTATCCAGGTAGCATTGATAGTTCATATTATCTTAACATAAAGTCTTTGGGGTTAAGGATTATTTGGAGTCTAATCAGTAGAAAAATGAAGGTGATCATTGTTATGAAATTCATGAGACACAATAAGTTAGGTACTGTTCACTGCTGGTAAAATGTAAAATAGTCATGATTTCTATTTCAAATGAATTTTTTGAAGACTAACATGGGCAACTGTACCTCTACATGTGTGTGTGTCTGTCAGGCAGTTGCCTTTCTGATGATGTGACAAAGGAATGCCATTGATTAGTCAGATGGAGGGTGGTAAGCAGTAGCATCCTGCTACCTTGAGGGAAAAAGCCCAAGCGAAATGCATTCTAGTATACAACCCCTGGCTTTATGTTTTCCTGATCACCATGATACAAATAAAACATGATATTCATGATCAGCCAGTACTTAGTTGTGTGAATACCCTAGTGCTCTGCTTTGAAAAGCACTTCGTGGCCTCGGGTCCCAATCTGCTTTGCTTTCATGGCATGTTTGTGGTGACTGCTAAAAACTGAGAAAGATGAAGTGTAATCATGAATTAGCTCTCTATACTATCCTTTAAAAATGGATATACTTTTCTGTAAACCTGGGAGTACTGGGGGTGATGTGTCAGGTGGTCAGAAGTGTGATTCCATGTTTCTCCCTCACAGAATGCAATCGTGTCTATTAAGGAACTATGTGGACTCCCTCCAGTTGCTAGTCTGAAGCAGTGTCTATTAACACTGTCATCTCGGCTCATCACCAGTGACAATACTCCTTCAGTCTCACTTGTGATGAAAGACAGCTTTCCTTACCTGGAGCCTCTGGGTGCAATTCCAGATGTGCAGAAAAAGATGCTGGCTGCTTATGATCTGGTAGGAAATTGCGACTCCATATTTTTTATCTGTGTGTGTGTGAAATCACAAATAGCAGGGACTCTTTTGTGGAACTCCAATGAATAACACAGAGTGACCACCTTTGAAACATGGATTGGAGGTAGCATGCAGAGCTGGCCCATTCAGCTTCTGCTAAGTCTCAGTGGAGACCTCTGAGAAAATGACTTGAACCTGGAGCTCCACAAGTTATCAGTGGAAAAGCTCTGCTTCAGCAAAAAATGAATTATTAAACAAACCCTCAGAATTAGGTACATCCGTCATCTAAATGGCTTTAGACTGCAATATAACCATTTAATTGTGTACCTGTGAGAATTAAACATGTCTCAGTGCTGCCTTATGATGGTTGAGACAAAATTTATCTGGAATCTATATTTCTCAGCTAATCCCTAGAATGTACCCCTTATCCTCATGGTCTGAAATGGTTGCTGAGCTCCAGCCACAATATTTGCATTCCAACCATCAGAAATGATGAAAAGAAGGAAGACATAGTTTTTTCCTTTAAGGACATTTCTCTGAAATAGAATAGATCATGTTTGCTTGTATTTCATCAGCTTGGAGTTGACACATAACCACACTTAGTTGCAAAGAGAAAGGAAAATATCATTTCAAGGGGCTATATGCTAAATCTTGTCTCTTCTGTTACTAAGAAATAAGGGGAGAATGTATATTAAGGGACAACCAATAGTCCTCTACAGAGGTAAACAGGAAATTCACTTGCCCCCTGACCCAATAACAATGAAAAATTAAGAACATTTAACCTTAAAATAAGCTTTTAATTAGAAATTAAGAAAATGTAGTAAGATATTCCCCTCACCATTAAATTGACATTTTTTTTCTCTTTAAAAATAGTACTTCTGATCAAGAATTTAAGGAAATGGATACTCTCATTCATCTACCTCTAGTGGAAAAATAAAGTGTTATAATATTTCTTGGAGAAACAATTGGCAATACAATTTAAAATGCTTATTAATTTGATCTATAGAGTTCCTTTTCTTGGATTTATTCTAGGCCAATAGAGAGATTTATGTTAATAATATCGACATAGAAAGATTAGCTAAGTGAAATATAATAATCTATATTATAGATTCCTTTGAAGATATTAAAATCATGTGTTAGAAGAATACTTAATGATATGGAGAAGTCCTTACAATGTTCTATAGAAAATTTGCAATAGGATTTAAATTACATCTATGTATATGCACCTAAAATGCTAGCAGGTTATTAATAGTGATTGTTTTTATATGAGAGTGAATTTTATTTTCTTGTTTATACTTTTCTATATTTTTTCTGTATTCACTAAACTTTAGTGAACCCAACTAATTTTATAATTGAATAAAATAAACCTTAAGGAAGAAAAGAATAATATTTTATCATTAAAATACAACTAGAAGAAAGGCATTTGAGATAAACATTCTATAAATGAAAAAGTTCCACAGGATGTGTGCTGCTTATGAATGACCATACCTTTTATAAACTATACTTCATGTTTGCTAGGGGAAAAGTTTACCTATTACCTGTATCTCACTTTTCATGAAATCAATTTTTTCATCATAAAAATGGGGACTGAAAGCTATTCAGTGAATAGGCGTAATTTCCATCTAAGAGGTGAAATTAGGGTACTAGTTGCCATAGAGACAGACAGTAGAAATCACTTATTCCTCCCCTTCTCTTTTAAGCTAAGAAAGAAAAATCATTCATGGTGAGGGAGCTCCCCAGAGCTGGCCTGTAATAAGCGGAAGGATACCCGGTCTGGGGCTGGGTAATTTCTATTTCACATCCCCGAGTGTCTGATAGTGTCCTGTTTTTTTTTTTTTTTTTTTTTTTTTTTTTTTTTTTTTTTTTTTTTTTTCAGTTTTATCTGCTGAAGCCAAAACTGAAATATTAGCCTTTTCTCATCTGTATTATTAAAATGCAAATTGTAATTGCAGGAAGAGCATGGTTTTCCAAAGATTAAAAAAAAAAAAGGCTACAGTAGAAGCAGAAATACTTATAATGAAGTCTTTCATTTACAGTTCTCTATGGAAAACCATTTTGGGAAGGAATTGAGTGTAAATATTCCTATGCCACTTGGTAAACTCAGTAGAATGCAGAAGTGATTAAAAACACTATTGAGATCTCCGTTGAGTATTTATTTTGAGGAATAGGGTGGGTAGGGACAGACACATGTAATGATAATATTGGCCTTAAAAGACCATTTTTACATTCTAGGACTTGCATTGTATTGGTTGGTATCTTTAATGCTCTTGGTATATTACTGCCTGTGTTAATTTTAAAGAGGTCTTCCAAGATCTCTGCAGATCTAGAGTGAACATTTAAAAACAGATCAAGGGGCTGGGTGCGGTGGCTCACACCTGTAATCCCTGCACTTTGAGAGGGTGAGGCGGGTGGATCACAAGGTCAGGAGTTTGAGACCAGCCTGGCCAACATAGTGAAACTCCGTCTCTACTAAAAATAGAAAAATTAGCCAGGTGTGGTGGCATGTGCCTGTAGTCCCAGCTATGTGGGAGGCTGAGGCAGGAGAATCGCTTGAAGCCTGAAGCAGAGGTTGCAGTGAGCCGAGACTGTGCCATTGCACTCCAGCCTGGGTGACAGAGTGAGACTACATCTCAAAAAAATAAAATAAAATAAAAATATAGATTAAATTAAGTTACTTTCCTGCTTAAAATCCTGCAGTGGCTTCCTATTAAAATAAAACAGAAACTCCTGACTGTGGCTTTACAAGGTAATTTATGATTTGGCCCTTCTTGTCTACCTCACCTGCCTCTCCATCCTTGCCCAATCTCACTAAATCTCTCAACCTCACCCACCTTTCCAGCCTCACCTGCCTCTCCCAACCTCATTTGCTTCTCCAGCCTCATCTGCTTCTCCTAACCTCACCTGCTTCTCCCAAACTCAACTGCCTCTCCAGCCTCACTTGCCTGTCTCACCTGCCTCTCTAGTTCCACGTGCCTCTCTCAACCTCACCAGCTTCTCCCAGCCTCACCTGAATCTCTGGTCTC